CGCCTCGCAGGGCCGCTACGAGGTGGCCGTGCCCCTGTGCAAGCAGGCCCTGGAGGACCTGGAGAAGACGTCGGGCCACGACCACCCGGATGTGGCCACCATGCTCAACATCCTGGCGCTGGTCTACCGGTGAGGGCCCCACCAACCCTCGGCTCCCAGAGGCGCCCACCCTGGCTTACCCCAGTGCCGGCCGCGCCCAGGGCTCGGCTGCACAGAGAAGTGGGGCAGCAGAGAAAGGAGCTCAAGCCGGGGGCCCAAGCCCACGTGGTGCCTGGGCACTGTGCAGCCTCAGTCCAGCATGGGTAGCAGTGAGGACTCCAGTCCCCTGGGAGCTGGCACAGCCGCTCAGGCACTAAGGCCTAGGGAGGGTCCTGCGGGGGAGAGGAGCTTGCCCCGACGCGACGGGGTGGAACGCGAGCAGCGTGAGCAGAGGCGCTGGGGGTGGAGAACGAGGGGCACTAGGTGTGAGGCTGTGGGGTCTGCGTGTGCCCCAGCTCTGCGCGCCTTGCTGAGTTGGAACTGACCGGAGTCCCCACAACTGGAGGGCAGGATCTGGGCATATCTTCCCACACTGTGGGTCACACTGGTGTGCCAGTGCAGCCCCGTGGGGCAGGGCCCCCCTCACCACCCTCCGCCTGCCCCCAGGGACCAGAACAAGTACAAGGAGGCCGCCCACCTGCTCAACGATGCCTTGGCCATCCGCGAAAAGACCCTGGGCAAGGACCATCCTGCCGTGAGTGTGGGCAGGTGGGAGCGGGGCTGCCCTGGCTCGGTGCCCAGTTTTTCAGCGCCCCCCCTCACCCCCCAGTCGGTGGGTCCTGCTCCTGGACCTCCTTTCTCCTCACCCTCCCGCCCCCAGGTGGCTGCAACGCTGAACAACCTGGCGGTTCTGTACGGCAAGCGCGGCAAGTACAAGGAGGCCGAGCCCCTGTGCAAGCGGGCGCTGGAGATCCGGGAGAAGGTGGGGCGGCAGGAGGTGGGCCGGGGCAGGGCCTCAGCCGGCTCGGGACCTAAGCCCTGGCTCCCACAGGTGCTGGGCAAGTTTCATCCCGATGTGGCCAAGCAGCTGAGCAACCTGGCCCTGCTGTGCCAGAACCAGGGCAAGGCCGAGGAGGTGGAATACTACTACCGGCGGGCGCTGGAGATCTACGCCACGCGCCTTGGGCCTGACGACCCCAACGTGGCCAAGACCAAGAACAACCTGGTGCCGTGCGCGGGGCGGGCGGGCGGGTGGGCGGCGGAGGCCGGGCAGGAAGGACAGGAAGGCTCTGCTCACCCTGGCCGCCCCTCCAGGCCTCCTGCTACCTGAAGCAGGGCAAGTACCAGGACGCGGAGACCCTGTACAAGGAGATCCTCACCCGCGCCCACGAGAAGGAGTTTGGCTCTGTGAACGGTGAGTCACGGCGGGCCCGGGAGGCCTGGCCGGGTCCGCTCGCCCCCCCACCCCCGCAGGTCCTCGGGCTGGGGACTGGTGGGCAGCCCAGCCTCACCTTTGGGCGCACACGTGCACACGCACCTGCCTCACAGCCTCCTGGGCCCTTCCACACCCGCTGCCGCCCCGCGCTTGGCCTGGAGCCTTCCCCGTCTCCACCGGACAGCCGCTCACCCGGAGGGCCTGCTCCTCTGGGCGTCACCCCCGCCCTGATGCCCGTCATCCCGTTGAGCCTCAGGCGTGGGGATGAGGCGCGAAGGTCTTCACCCCTGTGCGTGGTCACCTGCTCAGAGGAGTGTTAGTAGTAACGTTTTCCAAGCTCTGTTTTTGTTCGTTCATTCCCTCAACAAAGCCCTACCCCGGGCCTCCCCGGCACCCCCGAGCCCCGCCCCAGGCCTAGTCCTGTGTACAAGTCCCCCCAGGAGGCCTGTGTGGTCGGCTGGTGACCGCCTCGCTTCTCCCCCAGGGGACAACAAGCCCATCTGGATGCACGCTGAGGAGCGGGAGGAGAGCAAGGTAGCTCGGTGGGGCAGGGCCACTGCTGGACCTGGACGTGGACCGAGCGGCTTCTCCCACCCCCTGACCGTTCTTTCCGCCAGGACAAGCGCCGGGACAGCACCCCCTACGGGGAGTATGGCAGCTGGTACAAGGCCTGTAAAGTAGATAGGTGAGGACGGGGTCGCAGCCAGGCTCGGCGCTCCGCACCGCCCACTCCGCCCCCCAGAGCTGCTCCAAGGACGGAGCCGGGGGCTGCCGGTCCCAAGGCAGCTTCCAGGCAGTCACAGCCCGATCGCGTCACCCCGCTGGGCTCGGGGCCGGGACAGGAGAGTCCTGGCGGCCTGGCCCTGCACGTGACCCGGAGGAGGGGCTGGGCTCTGGCTGGCCGCCGCTGCTTGAGCTGCGCATGGGCTGGATCAGGATGGGCCTGGGGCCTGGGGAGGGGGGGCTGATGCTGGCCCCTTGTCTGTCGCAGCCCCACAGTCAACACCACGCTGCGCAGCCTGGGGGCCCTGTACCGGCGCCAGGGCAAGCTGGAGGCCGCGCACACGCTGGAGGACTGCGCCAGCCGCAGCCGCAAGCAGGTGGTGACGGGCTGCACGGGGGGTGGCGTGTGTCCGCGAGTCCGTGTCCCGTGCCCGGACCCAGGCTCAGCCTCACGCTCCCGCCCTCCCTCAGGGACTGGACCCCGCCAGCCAGACCAAGGTGGTGGAATTGCTGAAAGACGGCAGTGCTGGGCGGGGAGACCGCCGCAGCAGCCGCGATGGGGCCGGGCCACGGTCTGAGTCTGACTTGGAGGATGCAGGGCCCACGCCCGAGTGGAGTGGGGTGAGTCTGGGGGGTGAGGGGAGCCAGGAGGTACCCAGCCAGCAGGGCTGAGACAAACGCACCGCCCCACAGGACGGGAGCGGCTCCCTGCGGCGCAGCGGCTCCTTTGGGAAGCTCCGGGATGCCCTGAGGCGCAGCAGTGAGATGCTGGTGAAAAAACTGCAGGGTGGTGGCCCCCAGGAGGCCCCTAACCCCAGGTGAACCCCTACTCCCAGTGAGCCCCAAGATGCGCCCCTTCCCCTCAGCGTGACCAATAAATCTCTGCCATCTTTCTCCTTAGGATGAAGCGAGCCAGTTCCCTCAACTTCCTCAACAAGAGTGTGGAAGAGCCAGCCCAGGTACAGGTGGGGATCAGGGCCAGACCTCAGACCCCAGGCCTGCATGGCCAGCATCAGCCCAGATTCTCCTCCAGCATGTCTTCATCTGGCAACAGTGTCTGCCCGCCCCAGGCTGGCTTCGGGCTGGGCATGGGAGACACATGGAGACATGCCCCTGCCTGGGGTGGGCAAGTCGGCGCCCCTGCCAGCGCAGTAACTGGAAGGCTGTAGGGCTGGGGGGCGTCTCAGCACCCAGGCAAGGCCCTGGGTCTGCCACAGGGACTCTGGCTGGTCAGCTCCCTTCAGGCCAGGGAAGCACAAACCCACAGCAGCATGAGGCTGAGCCTTCTGCCCCTCTGTCCACAGGCTGGAGGGACAGGCCTCTCCGACAGCCGCACCCTCAGCTCCAGCTCCATGGACCTCTCCCGACGAAGCTCCCTGGTGGGCTAATCTTGAAGGGGCCGCCAGTCGCCAGAGCCACCTCCAGCCACTCTCCCCACCCTGCCCTGCGCTTGGGCCTGCTGCTTGTCCCGCCTGTCTCTCCCAAGAGCCCATCTTTTCTGTTCAATCTCAGGGTAACCCCCTCCCTTGTCATTTCTGCCTGAGCCCTGGAGGCTGGGCCTGCCTATTCAGCTCTACCCCTTATTTATTCCTTCCAGCAGGGCCCCCTCCCTAGGTCAGGGCCAGGGGAGAGGCCAGGGCTGCTCTCCAAGGTAGAGAGACTCAGTAGCCCTCTCTCCCCAGCCCCACCCTTACCCCGGGCCAGGAACACTGCACCGCTGAACTCCAGCACCCTGCCTCCGGCTGTCCCTTCTGTATATAGAGAAATAAGTTATTGGCCGCGCCCTCCCTTAGTTCAAGGTGTACCTCTCTTCACCCTGCCCTTCTCTAGTGGGACCGCCCAGGCCTTAATCACCCCCATTTCGCGTGGTGGTATCTCCCAGGCTCCACCTCCCCAGGCGGTGCATCCCCAGGTCCCCGAGGTCCCCGACCTTCTCTCTCTGGTCCCTCGAGGCTCCCCGGGCCCCCGCCCTGCCATCCCCCCTCGCAGGCCCTGCCCGGCACGGGGCCTATGCACTGCCCGCCCGCCCCAGGCTCGGCTGGGCTCTGCGCCTCTCCCACGCCTGCTGCTTTGCGTGAGGGTCTGGGGTGGCCCGTGCGGGAGGGGCCGTCCCACTTCTGGGGGAGGGGGAGTCAGGCGGTCGCTCTCTATTTTCAAATGTTGCTGTAGAAATAAAGATGGTTTGAATCTGAGCTGGGCTTGTTTGGAGCGGAGATCCGAGGACCTCTGGTGACTTCACACTGGGGTGGGGCTCGGAGGTTGGCGAATGGGGTGCGCAGTCGATGCTCACGTCCAGCCCGCACAGCTGGAACCCAGACATCTGCCTCCCCAGAATGACTTGGGGACCCCACACCTTCAAAATGTTTTTTCCTAATGATTTTGACCTCTGAGATGCTAAGGCCGTGGGCAGTGAGCTCTCCCCTCAACTAAGCGGTATGACCTTGAGGGAGTTCTTGCAACTCGGCCTTTTCATCTTTAAAGCCACTGGGGCTGACACTAAGGAGCACCGGCACACGCAGAACCCTGCACAAATTAACTTTACTAATGCTCACAACTTCAGGAGGTGGGAGGGAAGGGGAAAGGTGGCTGCCTCTGTCAGGCAGATGTGAAACGTGTCAACTTCAAAGTGAGCTTCCAACGCAGGGACGCGGTCCTCAACGCCAGCCCTGGTACGTTTAGGCAGCGAACTACAAGCCCCAGAAGGCGATGCGCGCAGATGACGAGGAGGGTGTTGGCGTGGCGCTGGAGTCTCCGCTTACGCCTGCGCAGCGGGGACCAGTCGGTCAGTGCGAGAAGACTACAAGTTCCGAGAAGCAGTGCGGCCGGACCTGAGTAGGGGTTGTTTGCGCCTGCGCGTGGCGGGCGGGGCTTTTGGGGCGGAGCGGCCACCATCTTGGAACGGGAGGCGGAGCAGAGCCGACTGGGAGCGACCGAGCGGGCCGCCGCCGCCGCCATGAACCCCGAATAGTGAGTGAGCCCCGCCCGCGCCGTGCGGCGCAGCCTCGATCCGGAATACGGGGCTGGACGTTTACCGGAGCTGTCCGGTCTGGGTCAGGACAGCGCGGCGCCCCCACATCCGGGTCCCTCTTCCGCTGACCCCCTCTCCTCACATCCGGGTCCTGCTCCTCCCCTCCGGGCCCCCAGGACCCGGGCTCGACACCCCAAGTTCTTGTGCAGTGGCCCCGTGACTGCGACCCCGAGGGGCACTACCAGGGGACCGAGACACCGGCCCTCCCAGTCCTTGCCGGTCAGGTGACCCCGCAGCCCTCAGTTTCCCCACCTGCTGCGTGAGAGCAGCGGTCTGAATACTGACGACTGCCCCGACACTCTGACTGTCGCCACATAGTCTGCGATCTTGGACCTTTAAGACACGACCATAAACCCGTCTGTCCTTCCCGTTCTCCCGGAATCCCGTTCCCCGGGTGGCCGCGGGAGGCCCCGAGGCGCCGCTCTGGGTCGTGGTCCCGCAGATCCCCCCCAGGACGGCCGCCCTCCCCGTGCGGGGCCGCGGCTCTCTTCCCGCCCTCTCCCCACCTTTGGAGGCCCCCGCGTCACACCCCTTTCCTTCGCTGTCACACTGCCCAGGCGCGTAGAGGAACGTGGCTCGCGTCTCCCAGTGGGATTCTGCCTCTCAATCGCTCCGCTCTTGGTCACTCCCCCACGCGTAGGTGGCCCCCACCGCGTGCCCCAGACTTGTCGCTGACAGCTTTCCCCAGTGCGGTTGTCTTCTTCCTCTTCTGCCACTTCCTTTTTGTCCTCCGGATCCCGGCCTCAGATTTCCTTGGGGAAGGGTAGTTCTGAGCTGGATGAGAAAGAGCAACAGAGTTGGCGACCGACAGGCTCCACAGACTTTGGATTGTGAGCCTGTCCGCCAGTCTTAAAGGTTTCACCCTGACATAGTGCGGGACCAGTCGGCTCCTTTCGCTGACCTCTGCTTCCACTGTAGCCGGGAAGACAAACGCCCACTTTCTGGACTGTGCGAGGCTCGGGCAAGATGTTCTCAGCGCAGAAGTACTGCCCGGGGCCAGCACAGCAGGCGCGCCACCCATCAGCTGCCCTTGTCACCGCCGCGGTGGCCACCTCCGGTGGCTTCCTGTGAGGCTCTGCAGATGCTCACTGTGTGGGGTGGCTTCGCCTCCCTGTCAAGCCAGGCATTCACAGGGTGTGCAGCGGGGTTAACAGCGCCCGTGCACCCGAGTCTCGGGCATCAGGGTGGCAGGATACCCAGCCCTGTCTCTGGGATCCTTGGCTTCTTTCTTCCTAAAGCGACTTCAAACTCAGCCTTTGGGCAGCTGTGTTAGCGCACTGGTCAGTCTTCCCCTCTGGGACCGCGGCCCCCTCACCGTGCGGGGACACTACAGCTGGAGCTCGGGGTGACGGCTGGTGCGCTCCCTGCCTGCCGTCACGCCGTCCCCTCTTTCTCTCTAGTGACTACCTGTTTAAGCTGCTTTTGATTGGTGACTCTGGTGTGGGCAAGTCGTGCCTGCTCCTGCGGTTTGCTGTGAGTAAGAAGCCCCCTTACCATCCCTGGGGTGCTGACTCAGGCGGGCAGGAGGGAGAAGGGGCAACCTCGAGCAGAGTAGTTGCAAACCCCAAGCGACCGAAGATGACAGTGCAGGGCCCGTGAGCACCACAGCTGACTGAACCCCGGGCGCAGGGCTGGCAAGTTGGGGTGCTGAGAACTGGGGCTTGGTGTGTAGGAGGAGGCTGGGCGGGAACCTTGGGGAAGGTTTTCCAGTGGTTCTCGGGCCTATTCGCTCACGCCACCCCCCGGGTTCCCAATCATTCAGGATGACACGTACACAGAGAGCTACATCAGCACCATCGGGGTGGACTTCAAGATCCGAACCATCGAGCTGGATGGCAAAACCATCAAACTCCAGATTGTGAGTGCGGCTCTTCCCGGGGCCCCAGTGTGTACTGCACCTTGGGAAGGTGCTGTGGCCTGGGCTCAGGGCTGACCTGCCCCCTCCTGTCTGGTAGTGGGACACAGCTGGTCAGGAGAGGTTCCGGACCATCACTTCCAGCTACTACCGGGGGGCTCATGGCATCATCGTGGTGTATGACGTCACTGATCAGGTATTCCTGCACCCCATCCCCAGCATGGCTGCTTCGACCACAACGCTTTGGCTCTTGTTTCATTTTTCTCTTCCCACTCTTTCTTTCTTTTGTTATTTTTGCATGGAAGAACTGGGGTACAGGCCAGAGGGTGAGAGGGTTGGTTCACTAGTGACAGGGCGGGGAGCAGAACAGGCAGATCCAGTGAAGTCCGCTGCTGAGGGGGCAGCGGGAAGACAGGAGGGGTCTGCTGCCCGTGGGTCTCTCCCACACACTCTTTTCGGTGCTGCCTGAGGAGGAGACTGGGCTGCTCATTTTCGAGGGGGAGCCGCTGGAGTGGACCCCCGAGGCCCTGCTGTGGGGTCTGGGCAGAACCAGGCCTCCCATTCCCTGCCACATTTGCCACCTTGTGAGAGACATCGGGCCCCTGGTGCCTGTGGTGGGCGGGGCTTAGTCAGCTGACTACTTCGGAGCAATTGAGGCCCCAGGAGGCAGCCTGGGGCCTGGCCCAGCGGGACCCACGCTGGGAGCGTGGCCCACGTCATTGGCAGTGGTGCTGCCCACCACCATAGTCCCCCCCACATTAGCATTTGAGAACCTGTCCACTGCTGTGTGCGTGTCACACCCTAAGGAGGTCTGCCTGTGGCCCGCGTGATGGTGACGAACTGGGTCAGTAGTGAGCAGGCTCCTCAGCTGGGCAGCCAGTCAGGGGCGGCGTCTCCTCTTTGTGCCCAGCCGCCTAGCTAGCCCCGGGCTCCCCAGGTTGGTGGTGCGCCGCTCGGGCAGAGGTCACCTCGGGCTCCGGCTGCCAGATCCCTGACCTTACTTCAGCTCTCGGCCCAGGCAGCTCCTCGTGGCTTTATCTGTTCTCCCCTCTCCTTGAAAACTTACTCTGTGCACTGGCTGCCCACTCCCGCCACAGCCTTCTCTTTCCAGAGGTTTCTTACTGGTTTTCCTGGGCTGCCCCCACAGCCCCAGAAACAGTGCTCCCAGCTCTGGCCCTGCTTCCTTCCCCTGTGCCGCTCCAAGGCCTGACTTCGGCCAGAGCTGGGCAGACGCCCCTGCGGTGTCGCTGCTCTTCTCTGTCCTCCACCCCGCGGCGCCTCCTCTCTGCTAGGCCCCGTTCTCACGCTGGCACCCGTGAGCTAAGTGACGGAGCCCCTGTTTCCAGATGAGCAGACACCCTGGCAGGGTGTTAAGTCACTTATGCCCGGCCTCACGGTCAGGAAAAGCAAATCTGGCACCTGAACTCGGCGCTTTGGGGTCCCAGGCACCCCCTCGCCTGCGCCAGGAGCTTTCCCTGAGCTTGACTGCAGAACACCCTGTCTTCCCAAACCTGCCCCCATCTCTCGCAGAGTTCTGCCACCTGACCAGAGCGCTGCCTCCCCCACCTAGCCCTTCCCAAGGCTCCTCCGTTCCAGCACCCCTGAAAGCTGGCCCCCGTAATAATAGCAGTGATGAGGATAATAGCTCCGCTAATGAAGCCTTGTTCGGGACAGGCCCACATTCAGTCTCTCGCGCTCACAGCCACCCCTTCCCCCAGACTCTTCTGGGATATTAGGAAGCTGGGGCCAGAGGTCAGGGCAGATACACCGTGCTTGCTGGCCTCTCCTCTCCGGCTCCACTCCCTGCCTCAGGGCGCTGCCTCCTGGGTAGCCGACGCCTCTCAGCAGGTCCCCTTCTTGCTGGTGCGATCTGGTCTTCATCTCCCCCATTGACTCCTCCTTGCTGAGGAAGCTGCTGGCCCCGGCAGTTTGAGATGGAGCCGGACTGAGCCTCCATCCTCTGGCCCACTTGCCCTCCACCCTGCCCAGGGCCAGCAGCCAGCCACGTCCCTCTCCTCCCCACCCCCCAAGAACCCGCCCCGTGCCCTTCCCTTTGACCTTGCGCCCAGCAAGGTGGATCCACGGCTCTGGGCTGTCCTGCAGCCCCCGCCTGCCCATTCCTGTCAGGCCAGCGCCCCGGGCTGTCCTGGCGTGTATGATGCCCTCTGTCCCCTGGGTGTCCCCCATGCCTCACTCGGGGCCCAGCCCAGGATGTGGCGGGAGGTGTAAGTTTGAGCCCAGTGTGATGTCATACCCCCAGCAAGGGAAAGTGGCTCTAGCTCAAGCCCTTTCCAGAAAGTTCTGTTATTTGTCCATGTATGAGGGTGGGCACTGGCTGGACTGGAGAGCCAGGCTGAATTGGAGGCTGCTGATAACAGAGGCAGGACAAACATCGGGCTGTGCCAGGCACCTGTCTCCCTTACCGACCTGGGTCCTCCCAGGAAGACCATCCACTTGCCACAAAACTTCAAACCTGAAGGGACTTAAGCGCCACCACGGGCGCTTCCCGTCTTGCGTCCACCTGTTACTCTCTGCTTCTCTCTTCCTGGCTTGCTTTCCTGCTGCCAGGTGTCTAGTCCCCACTTGAGTCGGCTGGCCTGTTCGTGTCTCAGGGAGAGCCGAGCAGCTGCAGTTGCAGGAAGCAAGGCTGGCGGACTGTTGGCCAGACTGCCAGGGCGTCCTGGGCCTGACTTTGGGTTCTCGTCGAGGGGGAGGGTGGGGAGAAAAGCAGAGCCTGCTTGGGGCGCTTCCTCCGGGTCCCTGAGCTCGGGGTGCCTTTCTCAGGACCATCCTCTGTCCCCAAAAGCCCCAGTTCTCCAAGCCTAGGGTAGGGTGGGAGTTGGGGCGCAAATTAACTTCGGACCCCGGCTGCTCCAGGAGTCCTATGCCAACGTGAAGCAGTGGCTGCAGGAGATAGACCGTTACGCCAGCGAGAACGTCAATAAGCTCCTGGTGGGCAACAAGAGTGACCTCACCACCAAGAAGGTGGTGGACAACACCACAGCCAAGGTGAGCGGGACCCGGGCCCCACCCCGGAGGCCGCCCCCCACACCTCACACTGGCTCCCCTACTCCCCTCTTGCTCTGCAGGAGTTTGCAGACTCACTGGGCATCCCCTTCCTGGAGACGAGTGCCAAGAACGCGACCAACGTGGAGCAGGCGTTCATGACCATGGCTGCTGAGATCAAAAAGCGGATGGGGCCTGGGGCCGCCTCAGGGGGTGAACGGCCCAACCTCAAGATTGACAGCACCCCTGTGAAGCCGGCTGGTGGGGGCTGTTGCTAGGAGGGCCGTGTGAGCTGGGACAGGATGGGGCACCTTCTCCAGATGATGCCCCTGGAGGGGGCAGGAGGTGCCTCCCTTTCCTGGGGCATTTGAGTCTGTGGCTTTGGGGTGTCCTGAGCTCCCCATCTCCCTCTGGCCCATCTGCCTGCTGCCCTGAGCCCCAGTTCTGTCAGGCCCCTTAGGGAGGAAACCTGGGGCTGGGCTGGGGGCAGGGCTCGCTCTGCTGCTGCCTCTGGGTAATGTTAAGAGACACCCTAGCACACACCCTTCTTTGGGGTGAGGGCTCCTCTGTCCCGCCCCTGCCCCCCACGTATGCTGCAGTGGGTTTCTCCTCTTGCCCCTTTTCCTTTTCTTCAGCCCTTCCCCAAGAGCCGAAGGTTCTCTGGCCTCTACTGCCTCTGGCCACTGTCTGCGCCTAGGGCCGGGAATGGGGCTAGGGGACCCCGGACCTGGGATGTGGGGCAGGGGTGGGGGGGCTGCAGCAACCCACAGCCCACCCTCCCCTCCGCCGTGCCTCCTCCCACACCTGTCACAGCTCAGCCATCCGGCCTTGGGGGCCTGAGCTCACCCCGGGCAGGTGGGCGGGCAGCTGGCCGGGCCTGTGACTTGAGCCCAGAGGGAGCCTGCTCCTGCCGCCCCTGCCCTGCCCCTGCCCTGCCGAGCCAGGTCTGCGCTGCCAGCCTGCCTGCGGAGCCCCTTTGTCCCCGAGGCAGGTGGAGGCGGAAGGCCCACCAGCCGCGGCGTCAGCCTTAACCCTCACCCTGCCAGCACCGCCTCCCTCTCCCAGGAGGCGCATCTGGCTGCTTGTGTCCCCTGGGCCTGTGAGGGTGGATCCTGCCCCTGTGGCTACTTCTCTGGGGAATGTGGGTACAACCCCAGGTTGGGGGCCACTTCACCCCCACCGGGGACCCCTCCCTCCGGCGGGCTTCCTGCTGGAAACCAAACCTTAGGTCTCCACCCACCGCCCTCACTGTCTCTGGCCTGCCCCACCTGTGCGCCCTGCCCTCCAGCTTGTATTTAAGTCCCTGGGGGCCCCACTCCCAGGTGCCCCTCTGGTGTCATGTCAGGCGTTTTGCAAGGAAAAGCCACTTGGGGGAAGACGGAAAAGGACAAAAAAAAATCCAATAAATTTCCACTGGCCCTCTGGTAAGCTGAGGGTTTTTGCAAGGAAGTTGTGGTGGCTGAGTGTGGTCTGTGGTCGCAGCCCAGGATGGGGGGCAGGGGGCCGGAGCCCCCGGCTTGGTGGGGTGCGGGGGTCCTGCGTGGACTCTCTGTGCTAGGGTTGCTGTGGAAAGCCCTTGACCCACTTCTGAAGCCAGGAGAGCTGCCTGCTCCGCTCGCTCGGCGCTGCCCGGGCCCCACGGGCCCAGTGCGGCTTGCCCTCGGCGCGCACCTGCGAGCGGCGCACGCCAACACCCTCTCCGGCGCCGCCGGGAGGTGCGCTTGGGCCGCGGCCCCTCCAGAGCCCCGGGCCGACCCCATCCCCGCTGTGCTGTAGGTCCGGACAGGTGCGTCTGGCGCCTGGCGCGGCGGCCCAGTCGCCGCCCTCGAGACCTCTCGGCTGGGGCTCCGGGACCCAGCCCCGGAGGGGCGCGGCGTGAGGCCGGGGGGTGTGCACCCATCGAGCGGACTGAGCGAGGCCGGGGTGGGCTCCCGGGGCGAAGGCCGGGGCGGGGCGGCCAGGCAGG